AAGTACTAAACTAGGAACAAAAAGCACTCCAATTACTTCCTTAGGGAACTGTTTTTTCACATAAGGACTGAATGACCAGCACAGTTCAGATACTATGCATATCTCCATACCTTCTGAGTAGATATGTACAGTACCCTTCTTCATATTACCTTCCAATCCCTTTGACTTCCATCTCTGGTTTAGGCTGACCATGTAGAGGCATTAAGCAATGTACAAAGGATCTAAGAGTTTGGTAAGATTTATAATGCTGGGTGGCATAACTAACTCCCAGTTTTAGTTCAACTCCCCTGACCACTTTTAGTAGCTACTTCAAGTGAACACACTTTTATGTGTTTTAAACTTCTTACTCTGAACTAATTTCAGACTTACAGAAAAGGTGACAAAATAGTACAAAAGAGTTCCTTTATATCCTTCATCTAGTATCTTTATAATTAAAGTATAATTATCAAAATCAAGAAATTAACATTGGTATAAGTTAATTAACTATAGGCCATGTTCAAATTTTACCAGTTTTCCCACTAATGCCCTTTTCAGTTCCAGGGTCCAATCCAGGATCCCCACATCACACTGTATTTAGTTCCTACTTCTCCTCAGTCTTTACTTGTCTTTTATGACCTTTCCTTATCTTTGTTACCTTGACACTTTTGAAGAATACTGGTTATTTTGTAGAATGTTTCCCCAATGAGTTTTTATAATATTATATCATGATTAGAAAGAAAAAGAGAGTATGCTTTTGGGGCAAGAAGAATAAACATCACATAAATGGTGTTGTAGCTTTCTCACTGCATCCTATCACTGGGTTCATGCTGTCCTTGTTTTATTACTAGTGATGTTAACCATGACCACTTGATTAACATGATACTTCCACTGTCAATTACTAATTTTCTTTGTAGTTAATAATTATCCTGCGGGAGATACTTTGAGACCATGTAAATATCCTGATTTTCCTCAATTTTTCACGCATTATCATCATAGATGGATTTTTGTCTTCAGTATCTACTATGCTGCTGTTTGCCTAATGGTGGTTTTCTATTTTCTTCTATGTTTACTAACTGAAATTCTACTGTAAGAGATGTACCTCCTCTCCCATTTATCTATTTATTCAGCTATATCAGTATGGACTCAAATACTTATTCTGAGCATTTCCTTCATTTCAAGCACAAGATGTTCCAGGCTCATCTTGTATTTTCCCTGCCCAGCCCTGAAATTAACCACTTCTCTAAAAAGTTGTGGTTCCTTTAACAAACAAGATCTGAGTGCTCAATGCTACTGAGGTATAACTGTCAAGTCAAGAATGTGGACATCCAGCCTAATATTTGTTTTCTTATTAAATTAAACTTATTAGCTGGGAATCATTAGCATCACCTGGAGCTTGCTAGAAATACAAATTCTTGGACGCCAAGCTAGACCCACTAGACTAGTGAGAGTCTCCCGTAGGAATTCATGTTTTAAGAAATTTGCCAAATGATTCTGGTGTTCGCTGTAAAGTTTAAGCAGCACTGCTTTAAAGAAAAGTTAGTTTTCCTTCATTATAAACCCCATGTTCATCTCTAATAAACAAAAAGGGCACGTTTAGACCTAATTAAAATTTGCCTTGCGTATAAATCATATTTTTACTACCACAACTAATAAAACTATAGGTGAAAGGCCTTATCCATTAAAGAAGTAAACACTTTCCTATTCTTTATTTTCCTATAAAAGCTTGTTAAAAGTCTGGTGGTCTAAATAGTTAGTTATAAAGAAAAAATAGTTACAAAGTATCTTTATACATTACTTTAAAAAATACTATAAATAATACTGTGTTTCCGGCCGGGCAGACCCCGTCTCTACTATAAATGGAAAGAAACTGGCCAACTAATATATATAGAAAAAATTAGCTGGGCATGGTGGTACATGCCCATAGTCTCAGCTGCTTGGGAGGCTGAGGCAGGAGGATCGCTTGAGCCCCGTAGTTTGGTTGTTGTGAGCTAGGCTAACGCCATGGCACTTACTCTAGCCTGGGCAACAAAGTGAGACTCTGTCTCAAAAAAAAAAAAAAAAAAAGGTCCCTGTTTCCCCAAAAATAAGACCTACCCATAAAATAAGCCCCAGCAGGATTTCTAAGCATTTGCACAGTATAAGCCCTACCCCGAAAATAAGGCTAGACTCAGTGATGGGCGCGGCTACGCAGCCCATCTGCACAACCCATGCATTTCGTGGAGAAGTAAAGAAGAGCAGCCCTTCTTGTCTTCGCCAAGAGAGCTCTATTGCTCGACATGATAGATTGGGGCCAATGGCTCTAAAGGAAATAGAGTCACAAGAAATTCGGGATGGAATTCGGGGTTTGGAGAGTTATGATGATGTTCCAGAAGACAACTATACTTGAATAATGTAGATTATTGTACCATACTTAAAAAAAATAACACATCCCCTGAAAATAAGCCCTAGGGTGTATTCTTGAGGAAAAATAAATATAAGACCTGGTCTTATTTTCGAGGAAACATGGTATTACTTTTATACAAAGAAGTTGTAAGTCAGCATCCAGGATCAACTCCTGCTTACACATACAACCTAACATCCATATAGTGAATTTACAAATATAGAACCCAAAACAGCACTATCCTTCAAGTCAGACTGCCTAGGCCTGAATGACTGCTCCAGCTTCTGACTTGGTGAACACTCTCTATATGCCTTTGGTTTTCTTAATCACAAAATGGAATACTACTACCTAGATGGAAGAGATAATGGGAGGGTTAAATGAGATAATGTGTAACACAACTATGGGGGCACAAAAGAAGGCCTCAAAAACTGTTATTATCATATGAATATTAAATAAAAACACAACTGCAGGTTTTATTTTTTGGAATGGGTAAAGCAAGTGGAAACTACACTAAAGGAAAGTTCTGCTGCTGCATCAAAAGATCTGAAAAAAAGGCAGAACCAGACAGCTCTACTTATATAATTAAAACAAAATCCTCAGAAGTTAACAAACCCATGTTTTAAATTTGACTTCTTATAAAAATGTTACTACATTTACATCATGTATAACTATGGTCAAGGCCTGAAGGAAAATATATAAAAATCAAAACAATTTAAGGTAGTATAAATTGGGTGAATTTTCTTCCTTTCTATTATGTGTACAGTTTGTATCTAAGTCACAAAAAAATCATTTGCCAGTTCCTTTAATATTATCAGTAAAGAGGAAAGCAGCCCCAAAAGTTCCTATTTACTGAGTCCTTAAAACTATCCCATTTAATACTCTAAACGACCCTATGAATGTCCGCTTTCCATAACACCCTTCATTATTCCCAAATGCTTGATTTCCGTGCAAAATTTATGATTTAAAGTACAATTGCCACATTGAATTATCTCTTGTGGGACACAATTTAATAAGCTGTTTGCAGGATGTAGAAATATTAATGAAACTTAATTAAAATTCTAAATGCAAAACAAAAACAGCCATTTCTTTATTCTTCAAATGTTTTTAGAGGTTGTTGAAACTTCAAGTTTATGTGCTTTCACATTTGGCTTAGTGTACAACCTGAAAGTGAAAAAGCAGACAAGCCTCCTCTGAGAAAACTTTCTTCAGGAAATTCAAGAGGCAGTCAAAGAAATGGACTTCCATGATTTCTTAAGCAAAAATAACTTATATACAAGACATAATGCATTATTAAAAATAACCAATAATCCTTAAATAACTAGCTAAATTATTCTGAAGTTAATTTCTGAATTATCAAAGCTCTCAGGCTAGTACTACTACATTATGAAGGAAACTAGGTAACATACGGCTTAAATGAGTCATTCAAGATTACACAATAAACCTGCAGCAAAACTGGTATCAAGTTGTGGACTCTGCACTGATCATAATAAACATTACGGAAGAAAAGCTCTCACTTAAAGTTTCCACAGCAAATTTTAGTTTTCCAAACTGTTCTAATCCAAATAAACGCTTCCAAGAACATTTGTGGTTACTCGACCATGAAGTTCCTTTTCTCATTAAATGAGTTTCCACCAGCCATTTATATATTAATCGTGTGATTAAAAAATAAAACTGATAAATATGGACAGCTGCCACGGCACATAGATCTCTCACATAGATCCAAATAAAATGTTTTAAAAACCTAAACACAGGAAAAGAAACAAAACCAGTATGTTTAATCTGTGTAAGATGACTCATTTCTGGATCTGTGTAACAGTATAAATCTTAACAGTTAATCACTACTGAGAGAGAGTGCTATAAACTTTGGAAGAAGTAAGAAGGGTAAACTTTTTCATCCGGAATATAATACTGAGAGTAGGATACATACATAATATGTAATCAAAATGGTAGGGGGAGGAGTTTTACGAAAACTTTAAACTTTGCTCTTCTTAGCACCTCTTAAAAAAGTACTATCCTTCCCATGACTTGAAGTAATGGTCTAAAATTAAATAAATATTTAAAAAATTTAAAACATTAAAAAAAAAGTATTATCTTTTAAAGGATTAAGATGACGAATGTTAGGCACCGAGTAATCGCCACCTGGTGTAGGCAGATTTACAGCTTACATTTCGAAACTTAAATTCTGCTTCGCATATTAAAGTCGATACCAGCCCGGGCGCGGTGGCTCACCCCTGTAATCCTAGCACTCTGGGAGGCCCAGGCCGGCGGATTGCTCGAGGTCAGGAGTTCGAACTCAGGCTGAGCGAGACCCTGTCTCTACTAAAAACAGAAAAAAACTAATTGACCAACTAAAAATATATATAGAAAAAATTAGCCAGGCATGGTGGCGCATGCCTGTAGTCCCAGCTACCCGGGAGGCTGAGGCAGGAGGATCACTTGAGCCCAGGAGTTTGAGGTTGCTGTGAGCTAGGCTGACGCCACGGCACTCACTCTAGCCTGGACAACAAAGTGAGACTCTGTCTCAAAAAAAAATAAAAAATAAAAGTCTAAAGCAAAACTTTACTCACACCTTAATCCGTTTAATATTTATAAGACTTTCTCACTTTTTAACTCCAAAACAAAAAAGATACCCCCAACCTACCTCGTTTACTGTTTGCGCGGTAGGGAGGTGGGGGTGGGGAGGGATCGTTTCTGAACCTTTTGAAAGAAAAAGATATCAGTTCAAATAGTAAAACATGAAAAAGTTGTACATTTTGTTTACTTACAAATTCTACTGGAGTTTTAAGTCGTAGGCCCGTAAATACCACAGGAGCCCTTCGCGTCTTTCCTCTGCTCCACAACGCCAGGCTGCACCCCTGGCGCCGCGCGGCCGATCGCCGTCCCGTCCTCGCACACGTGACGAGGACCTCCGCCGGAAGGCGCCCGCGGAATGCTGGGACTAGTAGTCCCCGTGCCCCGCCTCCTCCCTTCTCCCCCAACTCTACACAGTTCACCCTCCACCGCTGTAGGTCTGCCCGCGCCCAGGCGAGGGGCGTGGCGAGGGACGCGCAACCGAAACGCGGAGGTCCCGGAGTTATCACGGTGACCTCTGACGGGACTGCAGGCATCTCCGCAAGACGTCTGATCATCCTAACCCTTATAAAGACCTGACATTCATAGACTAGAAAGAATCTATAGGATCCACACAGTGAAAGGCAGTACTGAATGGTAATGGCAAACACCATGACTTGGAACCCAGCCTCTCCCATTACTAGGAACATGTTCTCAAACGAGTTGTTTAATCTAAACCTCAGTTTCCTCATGTGTCAAATGGGGAAAAGGTTACTTCCTCATAAGACTGTAAGTAAATGAGATAACATATGTAGCGCGTGTCTGCTAGTAACAGTAAATGAATAAAAATAGCTCTTGTTTTGATCTATTTTATAGATGTGAAAATCGAGAGATGGTAAGCAATTTACTCAAAAACAACTGGTTAGGGGCAAAGTCAAGTAAGTCTAAAATTCCTGTTCCTGACCTCCATCAATTCAAGATAACAGGAGAAATCTACTCATGTAAATTTATCTCCCTTCCCCTTTCCTCATTGTTTTCCATAACACTTCTGACCAACACACTACTTTGATTTTTGTCTGACTCCTCTCACAACTTCAAGAAAGTAAGATGGTTTTTTGTCTTTTAGTCTATTTTGTTCACTGCTTTATCCCCACCACAGAGAACAAGGACCGCCTACAACATAATAGTAGCTCAAATATTTACTGAACTAACCATGCAACATGATTTTTGGTGCTTTTACCTCTCAATCATCCTCTTTTGGCAGAAGTCACAGGATTTGGGAACACTTAGATGCTGTTCAATAATTGACTGCAATTTCTAATTCAACAAAGAATAAATAGAAGAATCCTATGTTCTACTCCATTGAGTTTAAATTTTCTTAATTTCAGTATAAGATTTCTAGCAAGACATTCCCATTTGTATTCTTTAAAATATTTTTTCTATATTTTCTGAGAACAGATAATAAATGGAGCCAATTACTATGTCTTTAACTTCTCTTACATAATATTTTAATCTTTATCAAAATTAACAATGTTGCCCTCTCCTATTAATACTACTAAACCACAACCCCAAAAATACTTACTTCCCTATCCAACAAGAAATGTGATTATGCACAATGAACTGATAGAGGCTTTCTCTTTAAATAACTGGATTTCTGCTTACCCTAAACAAAAAAACTCCTGTACAAAAATTTATAATAAGTTTTATTTAAAATAGCTGATTTAGAAACCCAGTCTCAAGAGCACAGATTTCTAGACCAAGCCCTAATACCTAAGTTTATAAATTAAATATCAGTCATTTAATCTGAATTCTAACTTTTTGTGTATTCATCTTTCCTGATAAATGGAAAGTTCCCTAAAGGTAAAGCTATCGTCATCTTTGTTGGCATATAATACATGTGATGCAGGGCAAGGACCCCCTCCCTGGGACCTTTTTGGGCACCCCCAATATGGAAGAAAAAGAAAATCTTGCAGGGAAGTTCCTGACACCTGGCCATTCTTGAAAAGTGAATGGGCAGCTGGTCCCAGTAGTGCAGTGGTGTTTACAACTAATCACAACCAGTTACAAATTCCTTTGTTCCCTCTTCACTCCCACTGCTTTCACTTTACTAGCCTTTAAAAAAAAAAAGTGAACAGGCAAACTGATGAGGACAATGGCCCACCAAAAGAGCCCAAATCATCAAAATCATGAGGTGTTTTGTTTCCCTATGGAAACCGAAATATGACATCTTAACTTTTTTTTTTTTGAGTCAGAGTCTCACTTTGTTGCCCTGGCTAGCTTGCCAGGTCATGATCATAACTCACAGCAACCTCAATCCTGGGCTCACACAATCCTACCTCAGCCTCCGTAGTAGCTGGAACTACAGGTGCACACCATCATGCCCAGCTAATTTTTTCTATTTTTAGTAGAGACAGGTCTTTAGCTCTGCCTAATCTCAAACTCCTGAGCTCAAGCAATCCTCCTGGAGTGCTAGGATTACAGGGGGTGAACTGCCACCACACCCGCCCCTATGTTCCTGAGTTGTTTTTCAGAAACCCCTACCAGATGGAAAACGCAGATAAGGAGGAACTGAGGGATTGAACTCTGAACCCCATTCTTTGTTCTAAATTTCCTGGAGGCACTGTCACACCCATTTTAACATCTCACTAATCCAGGAATCTCAGAATCCACCAATTCCCACCCCCATCTATTCCCCTCCCAGCCCCAAGCCTGCTTCAGAATATCCCACCTTTTGGGGCCAGGCCAATGTATAATTTCCATGTATTGATTTACAACTTTGCCTGCCTGAAATGGACCTTTGCCTCTAAAAACCCTGGCTTATAAACCACGGGGCAGTCCTGGTCTTAAACATTAGCTACTCGGTCTCCTTGCATGGTGCCCTGCAACTCTCATCTTCAGTGCCTGGCTTCACTGTGCCCAGTGAGTGAGGGACTCCAGTTTGGTTTGGTAAAAGATGATTAATAAATATATGAATGAGTATTTTCTTTATTATCATGTCTTCTCTTATCTGTCTTCTCTTATGATTCACTGAATTCCTCCATATTTCTCAAATTTCCAAAGTAACTGTTTTAACATCCAGAACTCAGGCATTCTTTCTTCTTGGTATTAGTGACCCTGCAAATCCCTTATATTTGCTATGAGTCTCCTGTCACCAGAATGACACCTCTTTTGGGTCACCCTTATAGTTTGGAAGACATCTATAGCAGAATATCTAGTTTGACAAGAGTTTATATTTGCCTCAAAGTCAGTCATGAACGTTTGGTATTTGCAAGGTTGCTGGGTGTGGGAGGCAGTCCTGGGAGTACTAGGATTATGCAATATATATATTTTTTTGAGACAGAGTCTCACTTTGTTGTCCAGGCTAGAGTGAGTGCCATGGCGTCAGCCTAGCTCACATCAACCTCAATCTCCTGGGCTCAAGCAATCCTCCTGCCTCAGCCTCCCGAGTAGCTGGGACTACAGGCATGCGCCACCATGCCCGGCTAATTTTTTCTATGTATATTAGTTGGCCAACTAATTTTCTTACTATTTATAGCAGAGACGAGTAGCTCATGCCTGTAATCCTAGCTCTCTGGGAGGCCGAGGCAGGCGGATCGCTTGAGGTCAGGAGTTTGAAACCAGCCTGAGCAAGAGCGAGACCCCGTCTCTACTATAAATAGAAAGAAATTAATTGGCCAACTAATACATATAGAAAAAAGTAGCCGGGCATGGTGGCACATGCCTGTAGTCCCAGCTACTCGGGAGGCTGAGGCAGGAGGATCGCTTGAGCCCAGGAGATTGAGTTTGCTGTGAGCTAGGCTGACGCCACGGCACTCACTCTAGCCTGGGCAACAAAGTGAGACTCTGTCTCAAAAAAAAAAAAAAAAAAAATCTATAAAAATCTGTAAAATCTATAGTAGAGATGGGGATCTCACTCTTGCTCAGGCTGTTTTCGAACTCCTGACCTCAAGCAATCCCCCCGCCTCAGCCTCCCAGAGTGCTAGGATTACAGGTGTGAGCCACCATGCCCGGCGGAGTATGCAATTTTATGTCCTAGACAAGAAAAGGAAAATCCTGAGCAAATATACCATGTTTCCCCGAAAATAAGGCATGGTCTTATATTTATTTTTCCTCAAGAAGACATCCTAGGGCTTATTTTCAGAGGATGTGTTATTTTCCCCTCAAAGCCTCAGCTTGCAGCATGCACAGGATGGCCGGGACCTGACAGGGGGAGCCAACCTTGTTGGTGGGGCTGCCCGCACCTTTCTGGTCACCTCTGGGACAGTAGCTGTCAAGATGGGGCAGATGAGAAGGGCTGCTCGTCTTCTTTACTGCTGTAAGACGAAATGCATGAGTTGCGCAGATACACTGCATAGCGATGCCCATCACTAGGTCTTATTTTCCAGGTAGGGCTTATATTGTGCAAATGCTTAGAAATCCTGCTAGGGCTTATTTTATAGGTAGGTCTTATTTTCGGGGAAACATGGTATGTGTTAGCATTAAAGTTACTATGCCTCTGATTTTTTTTTTTTTTTGAGACAGTCTCACTTTGTTGCCCAGGCTAGAGTGAGTGCCCTGGCATCAGCCTAGCTCACAGCAACCTCAAACTCCTGGGGTCAAGCGATCCTCCTGCCTCAGCCTCCCGAGTAGCCGGGACTACAGGCATGCGCCACCATGCCCAGCTAATTTTTTCTATATACATTAGTTGACTAATTAATTTCTTTCTATTTATAGTACAGATGGGGGTCTCGCTCTTGCTCAGGCTGGTTTTGAACTCCTGACCTTGAGCAATCTACCCACCTTGGCCTCCCAGAGAGCTAGGATTACAGGCATGAGCCACTACGCCAGGCCCATGCCTCTGATTTTGAGTCTCATTATTCATTTCTATGAAAAGCCATAACTACGGCTTTACAAACATTTTAATAACAAAATAACACATATACTGATTATTCAATATGTAGAACCTTTCACTTTTTTCTTTTTTAATATGTCCCTCAAACCTGTTTTATTAATACAAGCCTGTATCCAAGTTTTACAAGCCAGTATCCAACTTTCTACATAATCACCTGTCCTGGTAAATGTGTTAAAGAGGTTCTTAATATGTGCATTAATGTTCATAATATGAACTTAATCTATTAATAAATACCATAAAATTTATATTTAATAATTATACCTATTAAGAAACTTTTACTATTATGAGTAATGAGTTACTAATGAGTAATGTAATAGCCACCTTACAGAGAGAAAGCATTACTTAAAACATAAATAAGGCTGGTTGCGGTGGCTCACGCCTGTAATCCTAGCACTCTGGGAGGCCGATGAGGGCAGATTGCTCGAGGTCAGGAGTTCGAAACCAGCTTGAGCAAGAGCGAGACCCTCTCTACTATAAATAGAAAGAAATTAATTGGCCAACTAATATATATATATAAAAAATTAGCCGGGCATGGTGGCGCATGCCTATAGTCCCAGCTACACGGGAGGCTGAGGAAGGAGGATTATTTGAGCCCAGGAGTTTGAGGTTGCTGTAAGCTAGGCTGATGCTATGGCACTCACTCTAGCCTGGGCAACAAAGTGAGACTCTGAGCCGGGCGCGGTGGCTCCCGCCTGTAATCCTAGCTCTCTGGAGGCTGGAGGCGGGCGGATTGCTCGAGGTCAGGAGTTCAAAACCAGCCTGAGCAAGAGCGAGACCCCGTCTCTACTATAAATAGAAAGAAATTAATTGGCCAACTAATATATATAGAAAAAATTAGCCGGGCATGGTGGCGCATGCCTGTAGTCCCAGCTACTTGGGGAGGCTGAGGCAGTAGGATCGCTTGAGCCCAGAAGTTTGAGGTTGCTGTGAGCTAGGCTGACGCCATGGCACTCACTCTAGCCTGGGCAACAAAGCGAGCTCTGTCTCAAAAAAAAAAAAAAGAAAGAAAAAAAACATAAATAAATAAAAACCAGGTCTTACTAAGTACTTTCCAGCATTTTATCAAAAAAGAGTTTCACAAATTTTTCTTTTTTCTGTTCCCCCATGCCCCACAACTTTTCCAAATATACCATTTAACCATCTAGTCAAGGCTGATAAGAGAGAGTATTCTTTTTCATCTTCTCTTTTAAAAGACAAAAAAAAAAAAACCAAAAACCCAGAGGAGCAGTATCTCTTGTTACTGCTCCAGGTTTTTTGTTTGTTTTGCTAAACAAAGCTAAACTAAACTTTTAACAGGCCAAAATCTGACTCTAAAGCATGTAATTCCTTGTATTTGTGGCCAAATTTATGAACTATTAGTGAAAACATAGTACACATTAAAACTTTTGAGACTTAAGAAATTTATCCCAGGTTTGAGCAACAAATGAGTTGCTCAAAGATATTCTAAAGTGATTATTTGGACAAATAAACATCTTCAAATGTTTCAGAATCATTCACTGTAACTGGTATCCAAATTACAATTCTTTATATCTATTCACTGAAATCAATAGAAGAAAGTCCTCCAAGAAGGTAAGTTGTATATCTGAAGGTAACATTAAGCTTTCTTTCTTTCTTTTTTTTTTTTTTTTTGAGACAGAGTCTTGCTTTGTTGCCCAGGCTAGAGTGAGTGCGGTGGAGTCAGCCTAGCTCAGGAACCTCAAACTCCTGGGCTCAAGCAATCCTGCTGCCTCAGCCTCCCGAGTAGCTGGGACTACAGGTGTGAGCCACCATGCCCGGCTAATTCTTTCTATATATATATTAGTTGGCCAATTAATTTCTTTCTATTTATAGTAGAGATGGGGGTCTTGCTTTTGCTCAGGCTGGTTTTGAACTCCTGACCTCGAGCAATCCTCCCACCTCAGCCTCCCAGAGTGCTAGGATTACAGGCGTGAGCTACAGCGCCTGGCCTAAGCTTTCTTTCAATAATTAGACTTTACACTAACTTAATTGGCCTTCTCTGAGCTTGTCTAAATTTGGTTAGACATTTGCAGATTATCTGCAAGTATACCAACTTAAAAAAAAAAAAAAGCTTTCCCCATGGTTTCTGATTCTGTAGACTAAGAGCAGGAACTTTAAATTAAATGCAGTATATCAAGCTATACCCAAAATCAAAGTAAAAATAATGGCTCACAACTAAAAATTACAATACTGCCTTTAATCAAAATATTTCTTCCTTTATCACTGTTGTGAACTAAAATAAAATTTAAGCCTCATTCCCCTCCCCCCGACTGAATGGACCCCCTTGTGACCAAAGGAACAGCCTAAAACTAGATTGTCTGCCAAGAGGGAGGTCAGACATGCCTCATCATGCCCCCCTCCCTTCTTAGAGACAACCTTTATAACCCATTAACAGGCCTAAGGATTCAAGACAAACCTGCAGGTCCTCAATTTACATAACAAATTCATGTCTGATGGCCCAGCTCCTTATGTTAAAACATTACAAGCCTTTAGACAAAGCTTCTTATCTTTAACCAATTATAAGCCAAACAATCTTCAAACCCTGTAATCTTCATAACCTGTAAGCTCCCCCCTTCGAGATGGCCCCATTTCGGGCCCAACCAATATATGCCTCCCACCTATTGATTGATGACTTTACCTGTACCTCTGTCTCACTGAAATGTATAAAACCAAACTGTAACCCAGTCCACTTTCAGAAGGCTTTTTCGGGGTGGCTCCAGGTCATGGTCTTCAAATTTGGCTCAGAGTAAATCTCTTTAAAATTGTTTTACAGAGTTCGGCTTTTTTTCCTGTTGACACTGTGGTTCTGGACCAGGAAATACGAAAGACCAGGAATACGATTCAGTTTGCTATGGGAACGTTTTGCAAATGGAAATTCATCCAATGAGCACGAAAGCAGACAGTTTTATACACCCTCAACAAGTGATTTAAAACTTAAAACTGGGTAATCGCCTTCCTAATGCCCTTGAAACTATAATTTTTGCCACAAAAAGATGACGTGCAAAAAGTTATCTCTCTGACCATCACTCCAGCTAGGTTCCAGAAAACTGCGCAACAGCCTGGGACCGAGAGTTGAGACTCGGTCTTCTCCACCCTCGTCTCACTCATTCTTTCTTGGAGACTCGATACTGGGTCCAGGACGGGCGTCGCCAGCGTGCGGGCAGTACTTGTCACAAGTGGCTGGACTTAGGACAGGCAATTTGCCCTGCTACCTTCTGTCGCCCCCACCCCTTCCTCCCTTCCTTCAGGCCGAGGGCAGAGACGTTCTCCGCCCCTTCTCCTCCTCTTTGGAGCATCCAGCCAGGAGGCGGGAGTGACCCACAGCAGCTGACCCAGCGCAGGCACTGCCTCTCTCACAGCCCTCAGGACACACCATGGGCCCAGAGGCGGGTTTTGTGCATAGCAGCGAAGACGCAGGCGGCGGCCCCGGCGACTCTCAACTGTCTCCCGGACCACCGTGACCACCGCCCAACACGCCCGAGAAGCCATCGTCGCCACCACCTGGAGCATATAGGGGCCACAAAGCTATCTTTACGATCGACTTAAGCTACGTCAACAACCATGGCGGAGGAGGGGCGGCAGGCTGAGCCGGTGTGGGCAAGATGGGGTGTGCGCGTCACGCCCAGGGCCCCCCTCCGAGAAGGAAGGCCCCCGCTCGCCCCTCAAAATGGCGGCGGCAGTGGCGCGCCTGCGTACGGAACACCGTCACGCCAGGGCCGGCGGGAAGTGAGGTTCTCAGAGGAGCCGCCACAAGTGTACGGCGACTTCGAGCCCCGGGTGACCAAAGAAAGGTCCCCGGGAGGAAAACGAACCTCGCTAGAAGTGTTCCGGCCCGATTCTGCGAAAGAGGAAGTGAGAGAAAGCGCCTACTACCTTCGGTCTAGGCAGCGGAGACAGCCGGGACCCCAGGAAGCCGAGGAGATGCAGACTCGAAGGGCTACCCGACAACAGCAGTACTCACAGCAGCCTCGGCTACAAACGTCTCCGGTTACGACCAGGAGAGGGTTGCGGGACTCTCCTTCCTCTGAAGGTAGGCAGAGATAGGTCTCAGCCGCAAGACTGGGAACGCGTGCTGCTGGTGTGCGCCTCGGTGGAGCTCTTGCCCGCCTGGGTGTTGAGTCCTCCTCGGTCCCCGCCGGACGTGCGCCTCGCGCGGGTCCACCCAGACCCGCCGGCGGGCAGGGGCGCCGAGTGGCAGAGTAGAAAAGATGGTCGTGCCAAGCCACCCGGACAGAGCCGGAGAGCTTGGCCCAACCTTGCGCATCAGTTTAGAGGAGTCAAGGTTGCCTCTTTCTGCAGGCTGTTGCGAGAGGACGGCGAGTTGCTCTGGGTTCAGTTTCATTTCTGATCCCTCAGCCTTGCGGATGTTTCTTTCTACGGAAGACAGTTCCATTTCCTCTAAAGCTTAGAGGCCAGAGTCACGGTTCTAATCTAACCTTCTAGTCTTTCCATCCCCGCCCAGGTGGGGAGAGAGGAAGGCGAATTTTTTGTGAGTGGGCGTGTCGAGGGATAGCGCATTAGTGAATGGACTTGAGACCCCACCCAGATACTTATGTCGAAATGAGGTAACTCAAGTATCCCGAACTGAAGCCCCTCAATGTCTGATAAACCTGAGCTGATCACTCTTTCTCCAGTGTGTTGGTCACTGCCAAAAATTTGCCACTCTGGTGGCCCTCACTGTAACCTGACAAAAAAAGACTCTTAATTAGTTAACAATTTTTCATCTAAATGGGCCAAAAGGATGCTGACAAAATGAGTGTATAGTTTTAGGTGATTCACAGGTGAATCAATTTTCTTAACCTGTCCTCTCCTACCCTGACCCCACCCTGGGACCTAACACTAAGTCACAGATGAAGTTTCATATTAGCCCTATGTGAGGCACTTATGAGGTAAAAGGGGATTTGGATCACAATAGGATGACATAGTGGTAGACTATTGATGGATATGAAGAGGAGTGGATTTTCATCTTAGAGGACAGTAATAGGCTGCAAGTTTACCTGCTGACTCTTGAAGTTCTGACACATTTGAAGACTTGATTTTAGAAAACTTGATGTTAATGTAAGCTACTTTTGGATGTCATAACTCAAGACAGTTTAGCCCATGTGTATGTTAGTTTTATTTCTTTTAAGATTGTAAACTTTTTGAAGACAAGGATCCTATCATATGTATTTGATAATAACTTATGTACTTGTGTTAATTCTGTATCTCTTTGAGTACCTGGGAGAATGCTTTGCACAGGGTAGGCAATAAACAAGTTACGTAGTATTGATTTTCAAAGATCCCTGTGCAGTTATATAGGCTTTTTGTTAAAAGAGTAAGGAATTTGATTCCACTTTAGCAAATCTTTAAGGATATAAACATTTTTCACTCTTCTGCTTTTTTCCACATCATTTGTGAAACTTTAACCCATCTTTTTAATTTTCTAAAGTAATATATTTTTATTGCAAAGCAACAATGGTGAATAGTTTATTTTTTTATTTTATTTTTTTTTTTTGAGACAGAGTCTCACTTTGTTGCCTAGGCTAGAGTGAGTGCCGTGGCGTCAGCCTGGCTCACAGCAACCTCAATCTCCTGGGCTCAGCGATCCTACTGCCTCAGCCTCCCGAGTAGCTGGACTACAGGCATGCGCCACCATGCCCGCTTTTTTGTATATATATTTTTAGTGGTCAATTATTTCTTTCTATTTTTGGTAGAGACGGGGTCTCGCTCAGGCTGGTTTCGAACTCCTGACCTTGAGCAATCCGCCCGCCTCGGCCTCCCAAAGTGCTAGGATTACAGGCGTGAGCCACCGCGCCCGGCCTGAATAGTTTATTTTTACATCCTGACAAATTAGTTATGTTTTGTCTTAAGAGGATTTCTGACTTGTTTTTTTTTTTTTGAGACAGTCTCACTCTGTTGCCTGGGCTAGAGTGCAGTGGCATCATCATAGCCCACAGCAACCTCAAACTCCAGGGCTCCTTCTGCCTCAGCCTCCCAAGTAGCTGAAATTACAGGCATGCACCACCATGCCTGGCTAATTTATTTACATATATATATATGTATATGTATATATGTATGTATGTATTTTTTTTTTAGTTGTTCAGCTAATTTCTTTGTATTTTTTTAGTAGAGATGGGGTCTCGTTCTTGCTCAGGCTGGTCTCAAACTCCTGAGCTCGATCAATCCTCCCGCCTTGGCCTCCCACAGTGCTAGTATTATAGGCGTGAACCATCGCAACTGGCCTCTGACAAGTTTAATTCTTAAGTTTTAGTAAACATAACTACATGTTTCTGAAGAAATGAATTACTTGCATTTTTGTTTATGTATCACTGTAAATATGAATAATCTGTACCATTATCTCCCAGGTCATATATTCTGAATTTTAACTCTTTTCATATTGGTTCTTTAGAGGATGAACCATCTTCCCAAACTGTTTTAAGCCAAACAGTCTCAAAGAAAACTGTCAGGAGAACACAAGTGGCTCCAGGTAAGAATAGTTAATTTTGTTTTTCTCTTTGCCTGCCAACTTTTTTTTATGTTCATTGAATTAGGCAATATAGGTAGGTGTCAAGAAAAGACAGGGTGAACACTTGAGTACCTGCTTAAAGTACCAATCACTTTGTATATGTTAATCCATGTAGCCTTGCAAGATTAGATATTATACCTATTTCATAGATGAGAAAACCACAGTTCAGGGAAGCTGACACTCCTCTCTTAGATCAAATATGTGACTGAGCCAAAATTCAGACCAAGATTTATCTTCTCTAAAGCCCTTTTATTTTCTCCCAAGTGCCTCACTATCACTCTCTCATGTAATAACTATGCAGTAAAGATTATAAAATATCAAATGGGCCGGGCGCTGTGGCTCACGCCTGTAACCCTAGCTCTTGGGAGGCCGAGGCGGGCGGATTGCTCAAGGTCAGGAGTTGTCACTCCACACAGGCAAAATGGGATCCGTAGTCAGAGCAGCAGCCAACGTCTCTTGCGGAACCGTGGAGTGCCGGGTTGTGGGGCAAGGTTTTGCAGCTGGTGAGCGCCGTAACGAGTGCTATTGGTGTGAAAGGTGGTTAAGAAAAGCTACTGTTTAAGCATCCTGGGGGCAGAGGACGTGTGAGCTCAGGAGTTTGGAGACAGGCTGAGCAGAGTGAGGCGCTGTCTTACTAAAACAAAAAAAGGGACCCGAAAAGGATAGGAAAGAAAGTTAGTGGACAAGCTAAAAATGTCGTGATGACAAAAATTGTAGCCAGGCATGGTGGCACATAGCCTTGTAGTCTCAGTACTTGGAGGCGAGGATGGGGCAGGAAGGAGTTGCTTGGAGCCCGGAGTTGGAGGTGTGTGAGTGGGCTGATGCCACAGCAGTATTCTCTAACAGGGGAAAAATGAGGGACTCTATTCAAAAAAAAAAAAGAAAAAAAAAGAAAGAAAGATTACGCTCATTCAGAAGCCAAAGGTGTTTTATGTGTTGAGATGAGATCAGCTTACAATCATCTCCTGCTAATAGAGGACACAGTTAATTATCACTTTTTTGTTGCTTGGTATCATATTAACTAGATTATTAGAAATACAGAGTCCTATGGTTATACACTCAGAGCGCTGTTAAAGACTCATAAAGATTCGCGTGGGAATTGAAAGCCATGCCAAGCCGCTTAGTTTATACCCTATCACATTTTATTCAATAGGATTATTGGATGTGCTGTGGTGTGATGAATAAGGGCTATGAAGCAGAGAATATGGGTAGCTTGCGATCTAGTTGTGTTTTGTCTA